TCTTCTATGGGTTATTATTATGATATTACCGGTATTTCCGGCGTTAGAAATTGCACGCGATTGTTCTGATCGAAATCTAATTGCGCTTTCTGATGCGACACTAAGGATTATTGTAGGAATAACACGAACACGATGGATTTGAGCGCGAATGGCTTATGTCAGCGATTTTAAAAATATTTAAAAAAATTGCGGGTTTAAGTTAATTTTTTAAGGATTGGCGTATGTTGGTTGATGAAGCGACGAACATACACTGATCGGTTGAATGTGCAAGGTGCATATAATATGATAAATCAGCGGCTGAAAAATGGGTGGATGTATGTTTATGCTTGTTGTGTTTGGTAATTGCTGATGTGTGTATGAGCAGGTGAGTAGTGGTGGTGGTTACGCTCGTACGTGGGAACCTGTGTAAATCGGTTTACGAGCGTGTTGTGGGAGGAGGCGGAGAGGGTCTCTTTTGCCAGGCGTGGAAGTTTTGGAGCTATGCAGTCGGCTGAAGACAAATAAAAAATAACTAACTCTTTCTATTCAAAAGCACATGAGTTATGCTGTATTGTTTTGTTATAAATTGTTGTTATATCACCAGTGTTTTGCACGGCGTCTGAAGGTCTGATCTCAGACGTGTCCACGATGTCCAGTATCTCGTCATTGGCTTTCTCACTGTAGCAATTGTTACAACATTTAACTGAAATAGTTTTTTTTTTTCTATAACTAAACAACTGTCTGTTTTACTGTCTGCTGTGCGGATTTGGTTTTTGGATTTGCATTTTTATGTAATTCACGTTTTTTGCACAATATTTGGCATTGCATCGGCATTGAATTAGCGAGAACTTTGTAATTTACAACCGGAGAGTACAATGATCAGTATTACAGTCGTATTGGGTAACACTTGATATGTGAGAGTATTGAGTGCGAGTATTCAAAGTAGAATTAAAAGTTGAAAGCTGTGAGTGCGAGTCTTGCAAGGTTGGCAGTGCTGATAAGAACATAAAGGATGAAAGTGTTTTCGTGTTTTCGATCACTGGATTACTGGAGTTGGTAAACAATGAGCTGTTTTGATGTATTGTGAAATTGTTATCTGATAATAATTAGTTATTTATTTAATTAATTTAGAGGAGTTATAAAGGCAATCGAAATACGGACGAAAAGACATTTTTTTCTTTATTAATTATTTTTTAGATCTTAGATTCTGAATGTTACTTAAATTAAAAATTAATTTGAAAGAGAATTTTCCGTTGATTAATAATGTTTAATCCATTCCTTTCTATCACTTTTAGTTTACGTGATAATCGCTACCGAATAAGTTTGGTGACGGTGGAAGTGACTCGGGTTCAGGGCACCGTACGAGGGTGCCGGTACATGTGACTCGTCTTCAGGGTACCGTACAAATCATCTGCGAATTTATCCTCGTACGGTGCACTGAATGAGAGTCACTTCTACCGCTGCCTTCGTACGGTATCCCGAATACGAGTCACATCTACCGCTGCCCTTGTACGGTGCCCTGAATGCGAGTCACTTCTACCGCTACTCTCGTACGGTGCTCGGAATACGAGTCACTTTTACCACTGCCCTTGTACGGTGCCTTGACAGGGAGTCACTTTTACCGCTACCCTTGTAGGGTACCCTGAATGCGAGTCACTTCTACCGCTACCCTCGTACGGTGCTTCGAACACGAGTGACTTCTACCGCTACCCTTGTACGGTGCCCTGAATGCGAGTCACTTTTACCGCTACCCTCGTACGGTCCATTGAATGAGAGTCACTTTTACCGCTACCTTCCTATGGTGCCCTGAATACGAGTCACTTTTACCGTCTGCTAAATAGGAGATAAGGGAAATTCTATCTCTTTTAGTTTATTGTAGTTAAGTTCTTCAAAATCTAAATATTGAGGAAAATTAAAATGACTGCTAGGATTCCTTCAGTGCCTACCTAGAACTGAGTATTCCACTTTCCCTATATCAGTTTAGAATAGTTTATTAATCAAATACAAATACAAAATTAGATTCACTACTATTCAATTGATTTCTCTTGTTTTGTTTGATGGCACACTAAAAACAACAAAATATTTTATAACACTTATATTTAATCTATAAACATTTTAGTTCATAAAAAAAGTCTCACCTTTTGTACTTTTAATCCATCCAATTGGAATATTCAGTTTCTCAATCTCGTCTTCCAGCCACATCTGCACCGGCTTAAAATATTCCATTATCGCACTCGAATCTAAATAATTTTGACCAGTTAAAACATGCAGAGCTTCCACCCACGGCTTAGAAGAACCTAAACGCAACATAGCCCTTAAAAAAATAAACAAATTAATTTATACATATATATAATATTATCCTAAAATAATTAATCAACAAATAATATAATTTACTTTAAATCATTTCCAGCGGTAACACTTCCATAAAAATCACATTTATACAACTCTTTCCCAAAAACATGCGGCACATATTCATTGGATTTGAGGCACATAGCTCTGTAGAATTGATATTCCAGAATTTTCCCAGCAAAATACCTAATAAAATCATCATAATTTAAAAACAAACAAAACCAAAATATATATATAATAACAAAAAATATTCACCTAATATATGGAACATTTGATACCAGGTTATAATCCGTAGATATATCAAAACTATTACTTGATCGATCCGTAGGAGCCTCCAATCCTTGTATATCTTCAACAATTTTCCACCACTTACAATTATAATCAGCCTCTGTAATATTCCCGTTAAAAACATCCCATCGCCACCTGTCCACTGCATACGCAAATGTCATAAATGGCAATGTTTGCAACAACATCTAAAAACTCACAAATTATTACATAATAGCATAATAAATAAAATATTTAAATATTTACATAAAATGCATTATTCATGTGTGCTTCTTCACTCAACTCCGAACTCGTCAGATTAATACTCTTTGCATGTCTCAGGGACATGAAAGACAGCGCAATTGAATTTCCCACTGCCTCACCAAATGCTTCATTAGCCCAATTGCGATATACTTGTGGTAAATCTCCAAACTGTAGGAAATATTCAATGCGACCTATATCTCTGTGAGCTTGTCGTAAACCTTCTCGGGTAATTCTCACGCAGGTTTTTATTCTGGGATCATCTGGTTCGATATCGTACGCTTTTTCTACGCAAGACATTTCGCCGTCTTTGGGTTTCTGGAAAACTGAATGATTCCAGAATAATTCGGGTAATTCACTCATGTTTAAGGAGACGTAGAAATCCTCAGCTAGTTTTAATACTTTTTCTGTATCATAATTCTACAAGAGAAGAAATATTTATCAACAAAAAATGGTTTAATAATTATAAAATATAACTTTTCTACTTCCAACTTTAAAAAGTCAGTTTTTTTCGTGGTTTTGAAACACAAAAAGTTGTACTTTAAACACGGACGGCCAAAGACGTGACTAAAGTACTTTAGTCACGGATTTTAGTCATAGAGTGGACCTTGCGCCAACGCATTTGCCTCAACATTGATATAAAGTGTAAGTAGAAAAAATAGCGTAAGCATAACGTGGCTAAAAGTTGTTAAACACTCGATTGATTAAACTATAATCAATCTCGTGACAAAAGCTCCCATTTAGCCATTTGATACTTAATTCCATTACCTGTTTGATTATTTCTTGATCATAATCCACATCTGCAACCTCCGGAAATGGTTTAACTAATTGATATAGATGTTCAAAAGAATCTCCATGTAATCCACCAGTAAGATGAATAGGAATCGGTCCATTTTTACTCACAACTTCGCCGTATTTCACGCGTAGCTTATATCTTACGTAAGAGTGTAATAGAGCGTAGAGCATTTTAATATCTTTGTATAAATTTTGTGCGGTTAATTTAAACTTGGAGTCTTCGTAAGTTGATATCCATTCGTCGCCAGCATCAGTGAATCCATTCAATTTTGCGCTATCATTTATGATTTCCACTGATTCTTTGTACAAGGGTTTTGTTTTCTCGCCGACAAGTCGCACGTATTCGTTGTAGGTGTGTTGGAGTTCGTTTTGGTTGCTGCTAGTTGCCAAAACATGCTTAATATCTAAAAATATATAGAAAAAATTTTTGTAAAAAAACAATTTAAAAAAAGAGAATTTTTTCTATTTGTAAGTAGGGTTATATCGTTTGACAGTATTTGACAGTTGAGATATAAATTAACGCCACATATAAAACGTTTATATAGTAAAAACATGCTAATAGCTAGAAATATTTAAGAAAAATCTAAGAAATATTCTTTAAAATGCAGAAAAAGTTATAAAAACTTGCATTTTGGAATTCTGGATAAGGTTATGTTGTTTGACAACTTGGGGACAATAAACTACCGCCACCTATGAAACATTTTAAGCACTAACCTGGATCTAATGTTATTTCCGCTTTAACCGGATCTTCAAACGATGGTATTTTCGTATTATTAAGAATATCTCTCAATTCTTGCGTGAGTTTCATCAATTTTTTGTATTGGCTCTCCGGAAGTGCTTCAATTCCTAGGTTAGAACGTAACCAAAACTGACGCTTGACATCCGCGTCCTTATATGTCCTCCAATTGAAACTTTTCGTTTCGTTCCACAATTCTTTCGTGCGTTTCATTCCTTCTGTTATGGCAGTATACTAAATTTAAAAAAAATTGTATTATGTATTTTAATTTTTAGTTTATTTGTTTCTTACCATAGCTTTACGATTGATTTTCGTCATATTCGTGTCATAGTTAAACGTGGCAAGTAAACTTTTCTTTCGTAACTCTTTGACCTCGGCGTCCATATACCTTAGAAAATCGATCGCACGAATTTCTTCCTCTTCCAATTCTGGATCAGCTGATAATGTCATCGTTATCAACATTATCACCATCAGTAAAAAACTCATCAATATAAAATTACATTTAATACGAAACATTTTAAACGGAAGTTTCGTATTAAATCACCAAACAAATTATTTTAATGACAACAATCCACTTGCAAAATTGTCTCAATTATAATTTCATGACTTTATATTACTACTTTATAATCATCACGAGTTAAATTTAAAACAATTTTTAACCAATAATTCAACTGAAAGTTGCTAAAAAGAAATGTGATATGAAAGTCACACATAAATATAATATTTTACGATGTTTGATTTAGCATACCTGTGATTTGTGCAAACAAAAACCGGATCTCGACACGAAAAGTATCCGATTCACACACGACTTAACGCGCGCTCGCTAAAAACGCTACTGAATCTCGCCGTCCACGCCGTACTATAAACAAAAGAGGTAGTTTTTGCACTCGACAAGTTGTGAACAGGCAGATGACTAACAAATGACTGCCGCGGAACAAGAATATAACTGTTCACACTCACAATACTCACAATATCCACGATATTCGCGATTCTTACTGTTTACAAAAACAAGGAAGCTGTATTAATGTATTAACGCAGGTATATCTTCGAATGTGTCGTGTGGTTATGACTCAGTAAACCTGTCTCATAAACAATCCACAGTATGATTAGATGAAATCATCACTGTTAAGTTTTTCATCGACTTTATTCAGTTGTATTTAGTATTTATTGGATTTGGAATATTTTCTCATCCAACTGTATCGTGGTTGTATATATTTCGTGTTCAATTTGGTCGCGCACCACGAAGGTCAAGGATTCCACCGACCGTGATAAATAAAACACGTCGGGTTTTTTAGTTTTACTTGCTTTGGTGTTGGGTTGGATATGTGTGATTTTTTATGCATGATTGATATCGATCCGAATTGTTATACACGTGAGAATTGGATCGATCGTGAAATTGTGGTCTAGTTGCCTAAAAAGTTTGAATTTTGAAGGTTATAGTGACATCTGACGGTGAAAAACTGAAGTAATTTTAAAAATAGTTTATTTTAGGTCATAATAAATGAAATAATTATGTTTTTTATCATTTTATTATTAAATTAAATTAAGAAATGTTTAAAAATATAATTATTTTATTGATTTTGATTTAAATTCTTGTTTTTTGATGATAAATTTATATAAAAACTGTAAATTTGCTTAAAAATTTAAATTTTTAATCATGTAGTGACTTCTAGCGGTGAATTATTGAACTATTTTTAAAATATTTAATTTTTAACTCATTTTCAAGCCAATAATAACATTTTAACACATTTTATTACAAAATCTAAAATTAAAACAAGATTTTATTTAGTTTTATTAAATTTTTGACTAATTTTTCACCAAATAACATAAAGTTGTGGTTCGCATCACAGCTAAATAAGTATACTCTGTAGTTCTGCTACTTTCCGCTCGCTTCTCTGCGCATTTCGCAGGAATTGATGGCATTCATCGAACATAGCACATAGTGGGAGTGTGTTTGGCCGTGGCTGGCCGTATACCTAACCTCTCCGGCGTTAATGTTTATTATTCGCTCGCTGCGACCGCGTCGTGTGTTTTCCTCGCCATCGACTCCTCTCGCGTTTCTACACTCAGTGCGCTTGTGATTGCTGCGTCCAGTGCGAAAACACAACACGTCTTTCTCCATCACAAATTGCGCAGGCAAATTTTTCGCGTCGATACATCAGCACAATGCATTCGCGCAGCGTACTTGTTGCTAAACAAAAGTGTCGTTAGTGCACATACGCATCTTACACCTACACAGGTTGCAGTCGCATCAGTTACACCTGAACCTACAATGTGTGTATGAGTGAGTGAACAGTGCAGTGATTGTTTCTTTTGGGATCTATTCGTGGTGGATATTCACACATTTTGACGATGAATTCGCGGGCGGTGCACTTGCAACCCTATCTGAACAATTCGCTGGCGATTCGGCAAGAGATCCAGCGCTTCGAGAGTGTGCATCCTTCGATCTACGCGATCTACGACCTGATCGAACTCATTCCGGACGGATTAGTTGCACAACAGATACGCGATCACGTCGTGTGCATTGAAGGTAATCAGAAAATGTTGAATAAATTATGTGCGGTGCACTTGTTTCGTATGTTGGTCATTTCAAGTTCAATGTTACACCGCATGCGGTGAGGTGGGAATCTCCTATACCTGTACTACCTGTATATGTGTAGATATGGTGTGAGGTTGCGAATGTTGATGACTTTTCTCTTTTCGGTGGTCTTTCTATCGGCGGCGTGTTCCGCGAAGTGTGCCATCTGACCAGAAGACAACTTTCCATTCACTTCGTTCTTTGAATCGCTTTGAATCAATTTGTATTCACAAAGTCATAAATTTTATTTATTTATTTATTTATTTCTTGGATTATCGCGATTTCTAACCCTGTTTTTGGATTAGTTAAATTACATAGCGCCCTTAAAATATTCGTCGAAATTCAAGTCCAAGGCAGAATGTGTAGTGTGTAGATCGATAAGGTGCCGGTGACAAAAGCCGTATAGTTGGATGGGATTGTGTTGGGCTGTGAGTGCGTTTCGGAGAAATCCAAAGGAAACAAACATTGATTGCGACGAAACGTGCTACGTACGCTCTGTTGTCTGCACGATGGCTACCTGCTTTTATTGCCCACCCTGCAGGGATGCAGGCGGTGTGTAACCGTATCTGCCATTATAATCGCACATGTTGGTGTCGGTTCCACTCTTGCATGCCTCTAAGTAACTAAATGTAAATTGTTTATGATATATATAAAATCATAAAATTGTCAGTTTTTATCGTTGAGCAACAAAAATTAACAAATCTTGGATTTACGTGGATTGACATCTGTCTAATCATTTTGTAAGTTAGGTATATAATCAATTGCTCTAGTAAAAATGCCGGTAAATAAACAAATTCGCTTGAAATGAAAATATTTTCGTTGTCTCACAGAAGAAATTAATACTCCAACTTAGCTTTTGCCCGCGACTTCGTTCCGGCAGTGTTTAATAAAAATGTAATTCGTTTTTATTCTCTTGTTCCTAGACATGGTATGTATCAATTCTATCAATATCATTCGCAATTTTATTTTAAAGAAATTAATTATATACAGAACTATTTTGACTTCGATCCGGCGTGTTTAATAAAATGTAATTCGTTTTTACTCTCTTGTTCTAGACATACTCGTAGTAAGAGTCAATTCTATCAATAAGATTAGCAATTTTAATTTAAAAGTAATTATATAAAATTTTGTCAATAATGCGCTTCAGCGCCATCTCGAATTCAACTATTTAACTATAATATGATTGAATCTCAATGTCAAATTTTATTCAATAGAAAGAGCTGTTTTGAGGATTTTCCAGCAATTATTCGAATTTTTCTCACCTGTTAAACCTTCCTAGACCTCCACGAATAATTCAAGACCAAGATAAGATAAATCCGTTCTGCCGTTCTCGAGAGGTTTTAGCGAGACTAACGAACAACAATTCATTTATATATATATATATAGATTAAATTATACCCATTTCATCGTTATACAGAGTATATCGTTAAATCCTGTATCCAAATATTGTGATTTACGCGGATAGACATCTGTCAATTATTTGTAAGCTGATTATAAACTCAATTACTCTTGTAAAAATGCCGCTAAATATTTCCTGAAGTCTAAATATGAATTCCGCGTCAGCTCAGTTGTATTCACTTGTGTTTTGTTTAAATGATTTTGTTTGTAACTTTTAACAAATACGCAGAAAAAATCGTGCTTAAGTTATAAAAGTTTGCATTGCAATTTGAGATGTTGGGATCATAATTACAACAATATTTCAAATATTACCATCAACATCATGTTTTTAAAAAAATATTCTAGCTCATAATTTGCTAGAAATGAAAATATTTTTTTTGTTACCCCATAGAAGTTAATATAAACCCATCAAATTTTATACATTTTGCCGTTATACAGAGTATGTCGTTAAATTCCAAATTTACATAGTTGAGTACTGGTGCTGTGTGCACATGTTGCTATTGCTGCAGTATTTGTTCAAGTGATGTTGATTACATTTCCGAGTTGAGACTAAAATTAACAAACTCGTCACATGCCGATTAAGTGGCACATTTTTCACATCGACAAACAAGTTCGCTGGCTGACGTTTCGCGCTCGAAACTATTTTAAACATTACGAAATACCAAGCCAACGGAGATTGACCCCTTTGGCGCGCGCTCGTACACATACTCATACTGCACTTGTAATTCTATGTTTACTAAACGCATACATTGTTCGTTTTTGGCGAAATCGTGTGTTCGAAGCTCGTAAACCTAATTAAAATCGTACGCGCATTGTATTTATACTCATTCGACGCTTTCTAGCTTTAATTCCATCGCGCAATGAAACAATTTAGCGTTTTAGCGCGTTTAACAATTGCCGATTGTATGATAATTATCAAAACAATTTAATTTTAATTCAAGCGCTAATCGTAACTATCTGTTAATGCTCTTTTGAACAAAAGCGGTATATAAACTTGTTTTTGGAAATTATTTCGAAAATGTTGTCTTGGCACCCGGACAAAATACATAACAAAATGATCATCATGAAAAGATGATGTTTTGAGTCGATGCCAAAGTGAAAAGTGCATAATTTGAATTGAATTAAATTTAAACTCAAAGCAATGTCAAGTTTATTTTGATGATGAATGCGAAAATGTCCATAATGATGCAATCATTCCGCGTAGTTTTCCGGCTCGTTTGCTTCATTTGCAATAAAACGCGAGCGCGCATTTATCGACGCACGCAGTGAAATTTGATTATTCTTTATCGCGCTGCAATTTCTTTCGCGATCGAGTACCTACTACTCGTCGTTGGGAGTTAATGTCTTGGGTGTAAAGTCGGCAAGATCGTAACGTTTTCGAATGGCTGCACTAAAGTGAACTATACGGTACTATATTGCGAGCGAAAAAATTGCAAACTTGATGACCGCCATTGTCGTTTACGTTTTCGTTTTTCGCACATGTGTGTGCGGTGTATGTCCCACGTCGTCTTTCAAGTTCAGCCGTAAAACATAACGATGCTACTTGCAGCCATACGTACGTGAATAAAAGACGTTCCACTAAATTTTGTTATTTTTTTGTGTGTTGCAGGTGAGTTTTTCACATTTTTTCAACTGAAAACATATTCTGGGTAACGGTAGGTTTAGTTTTGTTAATACGTCAATATCCTGTCAACATGTGCGCGAGGGTAGAACCACTGCCACTCGAATGAGTGAAAAAATAGGTGCGCCGTCATTTGATGATTAAAATTAGTCGATTTTCGATTGCCCAATGTCCGGCCCGTTAACGGAAATTATCACCGAAATTGGAATTTGTTAATTCCGTTCATCGGAGACGTTTTAATATTGCGCAGTCGACGAAGCACGCTGCGTGAATATTTGAACGTCTGCGAATAATGCAATCGCATTCATCGATCGGCATCATTGCATATTGAAGGCGTCGCATTTTTATTCGAGTTTATTGCGTTGCGCTTCCTTTTCCACTCCGGAAAAAGGCTGTCATCTGGCATACGGAAGTGAAATAGAGATGAAAAGATGTAGTAAGGTAAAGACTCGTCCAGT